TCTAGTTTTAACTAGACAAATCATGCCCTAAATTAGATCTAAACCAGTCTAAACTGATATGAATGGACCTAAACCGGATTCAATTGACCTAAAGCGGTCTAAATTTAATATAACCGAATAAATCAGACCCTTAATCAGACCTAAATCAGTCTGAACCGGTCTGACTTGACATAAACCAGATCTAGATTGACTAGAACTGGCCTAAACCGGTCCAATTGACCCTAAACAAGACGTGAACCGGTCCGGTTTAATCTAACCGATCAACTGTTGTCCAATTTTGGTTAATGATTTGACCGGAATTTTAGGCCTAAAACACTCGATCTTTGTTTCGGATTGAAGAGCAGACGATATGAAATGGAATAGGTGACACAACAAAGGGGTATGACTGTCCTTTGATATCGTCATGATTCCTTGGCAAATGAATGAAAATCTCACACAAACACTTGCGAGAACTTGGCTCGCATGCTTCGGTATCTCATCTAGGCTACATGAACAAGCAAAGAGTCGAAGACAACAGCCTTTAAGTAGGCAAAACAAAACAGGCGTGAAAGGAACACAAAAAAAAGGTCACATAGGCAAAGTTGAAAGGAAAATGCAGCAAATCCATAAGGAAGGCTAAAACAGTGCAGTAGAGACATTCGCAAACTCAACTTGGAGGCTTGCCATGTGATCTCGTCTTGCCTTTTTTGGTCTCAATCTGTCATGACGTCTATTGACCAATTGTTGTTCAATTTTCTCTGTTTTTGGTCCAATTTTTGGTGGGTTTGAGTTTTTAACTTATTGAACCCATTTCGTGGTTTGATGTTATTGGGCTCCCACAAGCTTGCTAAGTAGGATTTGTACCCATAAATAAATGACCTAATATTTTTTTGGTTCACACAACCATAGTTTTTAGAATAATTTAATAAAGGAAATATGTAGAAAAAAATCCGAACCATAAGATGTATTTTCTTGGTTTTCAATAGCAATAGGTTATTTAATGGGTTGGACTTTTTAGGTCCATTTTGTTTTTTATTCTTAACTTATTGAATCCATTTCGCGGGTTGATGTTATTGGGCTCCCACGGTTAGCTTAGGAATACGATCCAGTGAAGAAAGAGAATTTTTCGTATAGGCCCATTAATACATAAACCCAATTAATGATGGTTTCGGTTGAATAACCCACATTATTACTAATGTATTGAAAAAGGAGGACTAACCACGAGCACAAGAAACATTTTGGATATTTTATTCACGAGAATTTTGGAAAACGTATTATCGAGTGAAAATTATTGAAGCTAATAATAATAATAATCAAGAGTAACGGTCGGGGAAAGAGAAAACAGAGGATGGTGTTCGGAGAGCGAGGGAAGGAGCCACATCAGACATTGTTTGTCATTGACCTCGCTTGACACGTGGTACACACACGTGTATATATAATTATATTATCAATCGTGTTCCACTGTAAAAAAATTTGCTATTGTTTTTTAAAATTGTTAAATTATTATTATTATTATTATTAATATTTATTTTTTTATTAAATAGAAAAAACCCGAAACCCGATCCGAACCCGTCCGAAGTCCTATAGAGCCGGACTCCGGACCACCGATCATAAGCCCGAAAAATAAATAGGCGGGCTGATCCGACCCGAAAAATTCGAAGCCCGAATTAAGTCCGGTCCGAATCCGGCCCGGCCCGCCCATTTTACACCCTAGAAAAATTGCATTGGGCTTCGTATTATTTTGTAGATATATATTTTTAAAATTTAAAAACAATTATTATCGTTCTTTAGTAGATATTTTATTTAATTATAAAAGGGTTATTTGTGAAAACTGATTTTTTTTTCTTTTTTGATTAATTTTTTCCAATAAGATGGACAAAATACTAGGAAGATCTTTTCCATCAGCAAAGTTAAAAACTTTTTCCATTGTTGGTGCAACCATGTGGTAATTAATACCTAGTGTATTGATATATAGATCTAAATATTAATTGGTGTCCAAACGTATAGAATTTCTTGTAGTGTAAATTTCATTATATCAACACGATATAATTACAATTTCTTGTGCGATTTGTGATATAAATGGTTAAACTCGATTAATCACATTCTCTTTCAATATTCTCGAAATTGTGACCCCTAAGCCCATGCGAGGGAAATACATATATGGACCACCCCTACATAATTCTGAGTCTAATGCTAAGCCCACTCGAGGGAAATACAAATATGGAAAATTCTGTACCCACCCACTACATAATTCTAAGTCTAAAATCCATTGGGCTTATTTTTTCGATTATTCCTACAAAAATATTTGGTTTCAAAATTCGACCGCCGTCGTCGTCGTCTTCGTGTCCGTAGGACGACGTTGAATCGATTCCCACATTTCCAGAAGAAGCGGAAGAATAGGAGAGCAGAGGGCTCTGTTATTGGAGAAAGGTTGCCCGCTTATGGTTCATAATTAATTAACCCATTAATTGTTGGTTTAAACTCTCTATTTGGAAGAATTTCCATCTAAGGCAAAAGGTCTGATGTATTATTATGAGCCCAGGCCTGCATATGTCAACGCATTTCTTGGTTTAAACTCTCTCTCTCTCTCTCTCTCTCTCTCTCTCTCTCTCTCGTCTTCAAAATCCAAGTCAGAGCTCGAGCGAGAGGTTGGGCAGTTCTTGGATTGAGGTAATTTTGCATTAATGCGTTTTGATTTTGAGATAAATAGCTGTATGGATCGATGTTCTTGGCAGGCTTCAGATTTCTGTCTTTTTTTTTTTTGTATATGAAACACTAAATCGATTATCATTCACCTTTAAAATATATATATATATATATATATTTACGGTGGAAATATACCTAATAAGCGTATACGAGAAATGCAATTTTGATTTAGACAGAACCCCACCCACCCATCATTTGTCTGAAAACTCCAAACAACTCGGAAACCGAACTCAGATACTCCGCCCAGACATTCGGATTCAGAGCCTGATACCTTGAAAATCCGATGTCTAATATGGTTTCCGTTGTTTCTACAACTCACTTTTTTTTTTTTTTTGCGATGCTAATTTACCATACACTCCGTCGAATGTTTGGACCGAGATGTTGAAGAAATAATCTTAAAAATGTGTTTTAGTTTTCAATATTATTCCAATTATTAATTATTTCCATTTTTTTTTATCACTGCAATTCGTAAAACTCTCATGATTAGGAGATTTTTTTTTCTATTAATTCTAGCTGTTTTCAAAGTAGGGTTGTACAACCCAGCCCATTTAATCAAAAGCCGTATGGGCTTTATGATTTTTAGGCTTAGATTAATCCAACCCAACAAAAATAAACTAAAATTTAAATGGATTGGGCTAATCCACGAATCCAATTAAACCCAATTCATCAATTAAATTATAATTAAATCATGAACTAATTAATTAATAAATAGATATTAATGAATTTTACAAAAAAAACAGAATAAAATAAAATTTTAAGTACATTTGTCAAAACAATTGTTTATAAAATAATAGATATTAATTCACAACAATTGTTTATAAAATTTTATTTAGCCAAATAACTGGATTGAATTTGTCATTCCGGTTTATTTCGTTTCAAATTTCAAATTCGATTCGTTTCGATTCTAACAAATTTATTTTGATTTGAATCGAGAAAGCTTTAGTCCCCATATCCGTCTTTACTCTTTCTGTAATTGACTTCCTCCCGCTCCCAACCAACCTTTTCCTTTGATAGGTCTTCCACTAGTGGCTGATCTATTAAAGAAGCCGCCCTCCTTTCCTTTATCTTTCTTGGGTTAGCTCCGACTATCAAGATGAGTTAAATGGTCACATTCAAATTTGATTTATTCCTCTCCACATTTGATTCACTTCAATTCGAATGGATTCATATCGATTCAACTTCGATTCGTTCCATTTAGAACCGATTCATTACGGTTCAACTTCGATTCGGATCGTATAGAGTTTTTTTTTAAAACTTATTCTATTTGTATTAAAGTCGAACATATGTATGGGTACATAAGAAATGTATTGAATCGTTCGCAATTTCGAATATGAAATTCAAAGGGATCAAATAGAAAATAATACTCTGAATCATAAAACTATAATGAAAGTTACGATCAACCAATATTTATCGAATTTGAAATTAAATGGTGTATATTCTTTTGTTGATAACTTAGAGGATTAAAAACATATACATTTTTTTGTTTTTTTTTTTTGAATGTTTGGCAGATTATTATGAAGACGGAGAACTCCCATCAGTCATTTGGCCGTCGAGACGGCTCTCACGACATGCTCATTATTTTCTCATTGCTCATCCTGGGGATGCTGGTCTTGTTAGCGTTCTTATGGTGCTGTTTTTTCCACCGATCGCCGCATCGTTCGCCAGATATCCATCCGGAGACCGATCGAACTCCCCGAGATCGCGTAGATATTGTGGATGATATAATTTAGTTTTGAAAATATTGTTATGAACGTAATATTAGATAATTATAAAAAAAAAAAAAAACTTATTTTGTGGGATGTTATTTACCAATTCGACTTGTTAATTATAGGATTATAAACATTTTAACTTGACTCTCTCAGTAATTCTCCTTGTACGTCTGTGTATGTATTTTTTTTTATGTATTTAAGGTTTTCTAATATTTCTGAAACAAAATGTTAATTTTGTTTTCTTGTTACAGAGTTTAGTTCGAAATTGAATTTTGTATTAATTTGTGTTGGCTTATGGAATTGGTTCTAGTGAATTGCGGTCTTTTTTAAAATCAAAACTTCAAAAACCAATAACCCATCTTCCACTTGTAATTTTTTTTAAGAGAAAAGTTCAAATTTAGATATAGAAAAAAAATTACAAATAATCATTTCGAAAATATAATGATGAGAAATAAAGATGCATGGACAGTGTTGCTTACACAATTGATTAACAATTTTAAGACAAGCAGACGGAAGAAAAAAAAAACTCACAACTCGGTTTAGTTATGTGTTCTTCTTCAATGGGATGGCTTCTTCTTCAGCCGCCCATTGAAGAAGAACACATAACTAAACCGAGTTGTGAGTTTTTTTGGGATGAACGGCGTTAGTAACCTTGGCCTTTTGAATGGGTCGTGCTCCCATCCCTTGCTCCATATCCACAGTTGAAGTCATGATTTCTGCCACGTTTAACAAATCAAATCTAAATCCAAAGCAAACCCAATTGCAACAAAATGCTCAATCTTACTCTTCTCCGTAGCAAACCCTTTGCTCTTGAGGATCTCCACGATCGTCACAACCTTTGCCACTGCTGTTTACACACAAATCCAGATTTTAACCCTAAAACATCCGACCCGAAATTTAAATATCCTTCTGCGGAGAATTAGATTAATTTACGTTTATGTATATATGTTATTTGGTTTTTGTTGAATCAATAATATAAGATTTCTTACACAAACTTTGATTAAAAAAATCTGTATATTGGTATCCGTATATGGTTATAGAAAAGTAGTTTTTTTTATAATCCGTAAATTCATCGAATTTTTGACCGAATTACATTTTTCAGATTGGAAAGAAACTTTGTATCAAATATTATTGACATCCAATCTTGGATTATAGAAAAATAATTTGTTATCTTTTGATATACATATGTATAATAAGTTAATAACCACTATAAAATTCACCAACTTACCCAATCCAAGACCCGATAACTCGACCTCGTTGCGCTGCTGCATTTGTCTCTGCGATGAGGGGAGAAAATGAACTAAACAAAAGGGATCGGAATCTTCGCACGTGCGGAAAAAGATATAACTTTTTAGAACATATATGTATACTTGTATACATGCATATGGTATGATACATTAACAAATATACACACACATATACACACATATATATATACACCTTGGCAAGATTGACGTAAAAGAAGAGAGGTCGCTTCATGTTGGAAACTTGGATTCGATTCTTGTTGTTGTTGTTGTTCATGTTCTCGGATCCATCTTTTGCCTTCTCCATCTTCAATCTTCTTATCCTTTTTCCTTCAGAACAATTTTCCACCCATATACATATATATGTACGTATGTATGTAGATGTATGTACCGCCGTTAATTGCGACGTGAAAGCACGTCAGTCTCCTATAGAAGAGGCAGATATTGGCACTGAGCAAACAATATGATAATGAAACATGACGTTAACCATTTAGACATTTGTTTTATGATTCTGATTTTCTTTCCCGTGGTGTAAATTTATGAATTATTATTATTATTATTATTATTATTAAAATTCTAATATATCATATGATCTTTGAAAAAAATAATGGTATGAACCCTACAAATTCATACAGCAAAAATAAATTGTAAAAAATAAAATAAAATCTAATACATCATGATCTTTGAAAAAAAAATGGTACGAACCCTTCAAATCCATACACCAAATGTATGGTGAAAGTCAATTAAGGACAAGCATAGGTTCTCGATGTTTTTATGCCCATGAACAGAAAACAGAGCATCACTCCAATGTCTATGGCAGAGACAGAGACAGAGACAGAGACGAACCCTAACAGTCAATCCCACACCAATGTTTAGAAGCAATCTTTCCCGGATCGGCGTCGAACGGATTGATCCGAGCCCACAACAACGAGAAAACCGACGCCAGAAGGATCGACCAGACAATCACGATTGTCGGAGTTCTGTTCTGTCTTCCCAGCAAACCTTTCAAGAACGGATACAAATGCATGATCACCCACATCGCGAAGAACAGTCTCCCAACCAGCGGTCCCCACGAGTCGTAGCCACTGTTGATGGCGGACGAGACCCCGGCCACGATCCCCACGAGGTTCACGATGATCACCGTGGTCGGCGGGATCAGGAGAGACGTCCATTTGAATACGTATAGCTCCGAGAATTCCCCGTCTTCGTCCGATGCCTTTGACGTGACCGTGAAGTTTGTGTCGATGCCCGCTAGCACTTTCAGAAGCCCTTGGAAGACGGCAAAGAGATGAGCCGATGTGCCTCCGATCATCCAGAACTGCTCGTTCCTCCACCATTCCTCGATCGAGATCCCGCCCCATCGGATCTCGAGTATTCCCGTCGCAGCTATTGACCCGAATAGGAGGATGAACACACCGCTTGCCAGCGTGGTTAGCTGCAGTTTTTTGTTTCGTTTCAGACAAGTTAACAGACATCAAGAATAACGTACCGGGATTTCCATATGGACGTTTTTCTTAGCCTAAACCAAAATAATAAATCTGATTTCAATGTAAAGTTTGAAACTTTATCGGTTTAGGGTACCTCGGGGATGATGAAACTGTCGGTGATGAGGCAGACGGCGGGAATGAAGCAGTAAATGAGGAGAGGGATCGAGGTGAGGGGGTAAACAATGGTGTTGATGTATGCAATTCTTTCCAGAAGCTTCAACCGGCCGTTATAGCCGTACCATATCGGACAATGCCGGGAAAGCAAGATCTCGATCGATCCTAATGCCCACCGAAGCACCTGGTTCAGACGGTCCGACAGATTTATCGGGGCGGACCCTTTGAAAGCCGCAAGAGGAGGCATACAGTATATGGATATCCAGCCACGAACATGCATTTTGAAGCCGGTTAGGATATCTTCCGTTACAGATCCGTATATCCAACCGATCTGAAAAAGAAAACCAGAAAGATATCGACCAGTAAATCTTGTTTTCGAAATGTAGAAGAGAAGAGATTAGATTTAAAATCGATACTGACCTCTTTGCCCCATTCGGTTTTGTCTTCGTAGCCGCAGCTTATGACGTGAATTGCTTCTTTCAGGAGCGTTGCCGGGTTGGTTGAAGGCGGAATTCCGCCTTTTTCCATGAAAGTGGCTGCCACGAGTACCGAAGACTGACCAAAACGCTTCTCTAACCTCTTCTGGGACATAAGAAACGGGCTCTCGTCCTCGTACCCTACAAGACAAGAACAGAGTTTCATACGAATTCCGTCAAGGTTGTTTCGGGAAACGGAAAAGTTCTCGTAGGATGTAAACCTTCGCCCATCTCTTCCATGTCTTCCGCACTAAAAACAGGAAGATTAGAATTGATCCTCGCCATTCCTCGGTTACTATCATGGTACTTCTTGTTCGGGTTCTTCCCCTTCCTCTTCGATCCACAACAGCTCTTAACGATAATGTTCGGCTCAAAATCCTCGTCGGTCAATATCGGATCGTACCCGTATAGAGCTTTCCTATTGAAACAACACCCCGTCCCCACATATACCGGGCCTTGGATTCCGTCTAACCCTCTCAAGTTTAGCTGCAAATTTACAAGAAGAGATGTAACGTAAGAGCTGAATACAGATTGTCTGCAGTCATATAAGGCGAAGAAGCTTACGTCGAAGAAAACGACATTCCGGTTGGCATATCTATCGTGCAAGTCGATGCCGTCAAAACGCTGCGGGAACTGTACATAACAGCATTTCCTCCCGATATTCGGGTCCATCATAAAGCACATGGCTTCTTTAATGGCTTTGCTGTTATTGAAGTAGTGATCGCAGTCCACGTTCAATAGATATGCTCCATTGGTCAATACAGCGGAAACCCGTATCTGCAAATCACGAGACCGGCAGCAAATCAACGAAACCAGACATCAGGAAAAAAGGATGCGAAAGAAAGAACAGTGTAAAAGCTATATATGAAGCATGGTTAGACCAGAGCATTCATGGCTCCTGCTTTCTTGTGGTGCTGAAAACCGGGACGTTTCTCACGGGATACGTAAACAAGACGGGGCAGTTCGTTTCCCTCTACGTCCGGACCACCTCCTTGACCAAGGAAAACCTGTTAACGGACATTATAGGATTATTACAGGAGAAGATTCATCCCGATTCCTCGGTCAGGAAACACAATCATTATAATACCTGGATCATTGCAGGATGGTCCCGAGGATTGTTACCCGGCCATGGACTCCCATCCTGCATTGTCCAACCTTCTTCCGGAACTTTCTGAGCTTTGCAAACGAGGGCGTTTATCCTCACCTTGAACTCCTCGTACTCTCTCTGTCGAAAAAGGTTCAAACATTTTAGCGATATTCTCGAAATCTTTAACAGAAAACATAGCCCGTCTTTTGATATTTTTGTTTTCTTAACGACTCGCCTTCATCGCACGACGCCCTTTGACAAAAGAATGCTGGATCTTATCCTTCAGATAATCTATCTTTCGCGCAAAATAAAACTCCGGAGCTCGGGGCTCAATGCTGTGCTTCTTGCAGAAGGGCACCCACTTCTTTGCGAACGCGGCCGTCTCTGAAAGAGCTTCGAAAGTCAGCATTGCCGAACCGTCATCCGAGACATAACACGACACTTTATCCACAGGATAATCGACTGCAAGAATTGACAGAACTGTGTTTGCAGTCACGAGTGGCGGCTCTTTCATAGGGTCCACTGTACTAACGAATATATCCACGGGAGCTAACTGCGACGGGAAACCTTCCCGATCGTATCTGCAAGCACAAAAACGATAAAAAAAAACCCAGTTTTTTTTTTGTAATTGAGGAGGTGAACTGACTAACCTTAGCGAGAGCAGGTCAAGATAAGTCTCGCGGTTAATAGGAGACCATTTCGGAAACTGGTCTAGAAGCCAAGACAATGCAAACCATATCTCGCAGATGACAGACGTAATCCACAGCACATATGCCTCGTTCACGGGATTTGCGACTCGGTATTGCAAGAAGAAAGATAGAATGATAAGCCGGGCAATGATCACGATACGGTAAAGTGTCATATAAACCGAACTGATGGGAATTACACGGCTCAGCGGTAGCCTAGCATCGTCAGCCCTGTTGTTATCGAATGTCTAATCAAAATCTCGGATGAAATGAGGGAGAAGTTTAATAAAAAATATCGGACGGAAAGTTTTAAAACTCACATATGAACTTCATCCACATTCGAACCAGTTCCTTCTATGTCTCCTCCTGCCTTCAGTTCCGAAATTTTGCTGCTCATACGAAGCATATCGTTTTCTTGTTTGAGTTTCCAACCTTCGATTCTTTCCTTCCAGTCCACGTGCCCGATCCCGTAAGAGTTCAAGGCCTTTGACGGGTCCACGATTCTAACTGGAACTGCAGAAGAAAAGAAATGACGGCCAATCAGTTAAAGATCAAAGATTTGCTGTGAAGCAGAAGTTAAGGTCAGATAAACATGTACTTGGCTGTGTTGGATCGACGTAATGCGATGTAGCGGAATTCTTTTCAGACGGAACCAGAGGACCCGATGTTGTCCGGACAGACTGGATATCGATTGTAGCAGATGGAATCTCACCGGACACCTTTCAAAAACAAGAACATGAAAACAAAAAAATCTTCAGATATAAACGGATTTATCAGCGTCAGTTACAGATTATCCATTCCATACCGTACGGCCTTGAGAGTGGAGATGAATCTGTCTGTGAGCTCCATGTCTAGAGGACATTGAAAATTCAGAGCTGAACTCGTTCTCCAAATCATCCGCGCCATCCCCATCGTCATCTCCATCAACACGAACACTCCCTGAAATACAGTTTATCCATCATCATCATCATCATCAGAATGAATGGTTTCCACTAACAGTTTACACAACTTTGAACAACGAATCCGCCATCCATATTCAGAATGAATGGAATGAAAGATTCATACCTCTGTGCCTTTTGTACCTGGTCTTGCATTTAGGGCAGCATTGTGTGCCGTCTTTGCGTTCATATTCGTAACACGGCCGACAAACTGGAAAAGCACATTCATTACACGCGACAAACAGATCTCCGGCGGCTGTTAACCCGATATCGTCTCCACATATTTGGCACATTTGGCTGATATTCATGTTCTTCAGAGGTTTTGGCTGCATCATCATTCAGTGTCAACAAAAGAAAAAAAAAGACTCAATCTTTCCTTGAGCATGAGCGCATGTCATTTGCACAAAAGGACAAGGCTTTGTCTTTGTCCGGACAGAAGCACAAACAAGCCAGAAACTTTGCTCCTACGCAACTAATCTCATTGATCTGAAACAAAGTGCGCGATTCGCGAATGAAGATCTCACTGTTGATCAAACTAATGGACGATTGACCAGTATCAGGCAAAACCCGCCTCTGCCATTTTACCGAGTCAGTGAAAAGCTCAGAGCTTTAAGGCAGAATTCGAGTTTTTCGATCAAAAGAATTCAAAGAGAGAGAAACCCAGATCTGATATGTCGATCAAAGTGCAAAATACACGGCCAAAACTAAAACCCGGAGACCAAAAATTGAGGCGGATAGTTTTTGTCGGACTGCGAAAAAATCGGAGGGCTAGTAAGCTGAAGAACACAAACCTCGCCGTCGGAATCGTGTTGAATCCGGACGAGCTCGTTCGTCCGGTAAGACCCGGCGACCATTCCGGCACCGGCTTGCATGTTTTCCGACCGTTACGTTACCCTCTCCGTTGGTGTTCTCCGATCATAAACAAATGGTGCGGCGGACGCAGAGAAATAAAAAAAAAGAATTAAATGAAAATAAAAATGAAAAATATATGTTCCCCTTCAACAACAAAATGCAGAAATGTCTGAAAAATCTCTCTTTTAAACACAATATTACAACTCAGTGATCTCTGTCTCCGTGAGTGTTCCGCGTTTTTGTACGAAGGATGTTTCAGTTTCCATGACGCTAAAGGAAAGAAACCGGTCGAACCGGGTAGATTCTTTGCCAACTTTATCTCACCTATTTTTTTTTCACAATTGTTTTTTACCTTTTAAATCTCTTTTTATTTATTATTTGCTATTTTATTTCATATTAATTTAGGCTGTAACATGTAATTTTGGGCCGAATCATCGAAGAAACATGCCGATAAATATATATATATATATATATATATATATATATATTCAGTATATAAAATAGTATATCTCAATGTATAATTCGATTAAGTATCCTGTGTTTAAATATATATGTTCTCTATTTCATTTTTTCCGGTATTATAATAAGGAAAGTTTATTTTGTTGAAAAAATCATTTTTTTGTCGAAAAATAATAAGGAAAGTTTGCAAAATACCTTTATGAATTTAAAAATACCAATACTGCATTTGATTTTAAATTTTGTATTATACTACGTCGTACAGGTTGTTTATAATAATCGTATTGGATTCTAGTTCTTTCTCGAAAAAAATTAATATTTGTTTTGTTTTGTTGTATATTACCGGTGTTATTGTGGGAGATCAATCTTAATTATCGATAAATTATTCCAATTTTCTTTTTTGCATAACCTTATATCCCTTAATTTCTTTAATAATTGGAAAATTCTAAAAAAATTAACTATAATTTAATTATCATAGTCATACTAAACTATTTCGATTTCCATATTCACCATTAATTATTAATTTTTTTTACCAAAAAATACATAACTTTTGATTTTTTTTGAAAAGTTTTCGATCGTTTAAAAATTCAGTCAAAATGTGAACGATCAACACTTGTGTGATCGTTGAATTTGTCTGATACCACCATAAATTAAAAAATGAATACAAATAAATAAAATAATAATAAAAATATGTATATATATATATGTATTTGTATATATATATATATTATGTATGTATGTATGTATTTGTATACATATATGTATAAATATATGTATGTGTATATATATATGCGTGTGTATATATATATATATATCCACCATGAGTGAAAGCATGCTAGATCCCAGTGTTCAGATATACAAAATTGAGACTGCACAATATTGTTATGGTTGAATTGAATTTGAGTTGAAAAAAATAATTGGGATGTTGTGAAAGTTCTTTTAGCATTAAATTAATGCAAAACTAAAAAAATTGTTATTGAAAATTGAATAAAATAAAATATAATTGAATTTGAATATAAAAAATCGAATAGCTAATATAAATTTTAGAAAATCTAATAAATTTGAAAACAATCGAATTAAAAATGTCAAAATATTACTGATAAATCTCATTCGTTGATTAAACGGTGCGAAGCATTGGATTGTCTCTATATAATCAAATATTGGACGAAAAGGGCTCTTGGGTTAAATATTATTATATTTTTCAATTTGGGAATCGGATTAAGACAAAATTCGGTTTAATTTTGCTGGTCCCTCCTCCTTCCATAGTTTTTGTTTGGTTTGAAAACGCACAAAAAATAGAAGAATCCCACGTTTAAATTGAGCTCTTCTTATATCTTGTCTTAGATAATTTGATTTTAAATAAAAAAAAATGTTAAAAATGTTTTTTTAAAAAAAAAAACACCAACACAGAACTGAGATAAGATCCACCACCATAATTTTTGGGAGATTAAGACAATGCAATAACAGTTAATGCACTCATATATCTTGGCATTGGAATTTCATGGCTTAAACAAAATATTTATATAATCAAATATTTAAACCTATCATCTCTAGAACCATACGCCAATGTATTATATATCCAAAGAAAGGAAGATACAATAGCAAAGTACCAACCATTATTTTATTATTCTTTTCAAAGAACAATAAAAATATGATTATTTTGTAATGGATTATTACTAATAATTTGAATTGGTTAAAAATCTCATAAGATTTATAAAATCGAAAAAGAGTGAAAAAAACGGAATATTCATTTTAATGATTCCATATAAATTTGGGATTAATGGACGTTGTCGTTGTTGTTTTAGAAAGTACTTCTTAAAAAGAAAATCTTCTCGTATATATATATATATATATATATATATATATATATTAATTGATTTTTCTGCATTAAAAAAAAGGAGCGAGTTGGTTATCTTCAGAGCCTGCCGTAGTTATAAAAAGGGATACGCATTTTCCTTCGCCAACTGCTACAGAAGCAGAAGACGTCTTCCAAGAGCCACCTTCCTCTCTCTCTCCCCCCTTCGGAGAGGGAGCCGCATATACACACGCGTATACACGCACACATATACAGAGAGAGAGTTATATATAGTAAGAAGTGGAAAATGGGTTGCGGCGTGAATCTCTTCTACCCAGTTCTCATCGGCCTCTCTGTAGCTCTCATCAGTTACAACATCATCATCTCCGCAAACGGACCTCTCAAGCATGAGCTTCCGGGCAGATCGTCGGTATTCTTAGTTCACCCAGTCATTGAAATGCCTCGACTCGGATCCAGAATCCGCGGCGGCGGAGGTAAGGAGGAGAAGAGGCTGTTCCACACGGCGGTCACGGCTTCGGAGTCGGTGTACAGCGCATGGCAGTGTAGAGTCATGTACTACTGGTTCAAGCGGGCTAAGGATTCCGGCGGGCCATTGTCGGAGATGGGTGGGTTTACCCGGATCTTGCATTCCGGTAAGCCTGACAAGTACATGGATGAGATTCCCACGTTCGTCGCTCAACCTTTACCATCTGGGATGGATCAGGTATTCTTCAGAATCGCTTCTCCGATCATCTGAGCTTATCCGATAGTTGCTTTTGCTGTTCTCGTTCATGGGTCGCTGGGGAATTTTGGAAATTCTCGTTGTTCGCCTCTGTGTCGGTGTTCGAATTCGAGAATGTTAGAATGAGACATTGTGTGATTGATGTTCAGTGGAAATTCTCTTGTAGATTGGTGTGATGTCTCTCTGAATTTTGAATCACAGGGTTATGTGGTGCTGAACAGGCCATGGGCATTTGTACAGTGGATTCAGCAAGCAGAGATCAAAGAAGAGTGAGTAAGAAAATGTGTGGATTTACTGATGAAAATGCTATATTTGGAAGTTCCCTTACATGTTATGTTTGGATTCCTCTGGTGTGTAGTTATGTTCTGATGGCTGAGCCTGATCATATAATTGTCAAACCTATACCAAACCTGGCCAGAGCTGGACATGGAGCTGCATTTCCATTCTTTTATATCGAACCCAAGAAGTACGAGAAGGTCTTGAGGAGGTATTATCCAGAGGAGAGGGGACCAATAACCGACATTGATCCGATAGGAAACTCTCCAGACATTGTGGAGAAGGTTGGTGTTGCAGAACTTGTTACATAGAGCTGACAAACTGGGTTTACGGGTTTGAAGGGTCTCCTTTATAAAGACTGGATGATATGTTTTCCAGGAAGCTCTGAAGAAGATCGCTCCGACGTGGATGAACGTTTCGTTGGCCATGAAGAAGGATCCCGAAACAGACAAAGCTTTTGGATGGGTTCTTGAAATGTAAAAGCCTATCGGTTTAACTTCATATCAGTGGTTTGTATGTTTGTTTTTTTTTACTTTCCACAGATGGAAGAGTTTTGACGTTTTTCCTTTCTTGGTTGGTGTAAATACAGGTATGCTTATGCTGTCTCCTCAGCTTTGCACGGTGTCAGCAACATTCTGCACAAGGACTTCATGATTCAGGTTAGCCCAAATAGAGATTACATGGATGTGATATGGGGCATGTTCTCATCATTTGTACTCCTTGCTTAGCAATTGGCGGTATTGATAGCTTGGTGTAGTTTTCCATTAAGACAGAGTCCCAGGAATTTCAAGTGGCTGGCGTTAGTTCTGACAACATAGTACTATTAGCATGTTTAGCTATTCCATACATTTAGTCTTGTTGGCTGAGGAAATGAACCTATCCATTCGAATTAGTCATCTGCCGCAGCGTTAAAGAGTCGATCCATAGATCTAACTTAAGAGGCTTCTCACTTTTCTTTGGTTGTGTTTTGTGGTCTTTTGAGCCAGCCCCCATGGGACACAGAGGTAGGTGACAATTACATCATACATTACACTTATGGATGTGACTACGACATGAAGGTAAGGGTTAAAGAGCAACCTTTTGATTTTGGAGATTTCGAATGCGTTTTCTCCCTGTTCTTTACTGTGGATTTAGGGTCTGATAAGAGAGTTACTAATCGTTGTCGTGGCGATTGAAGGGTCAACTAATGTACGGAAAAATCGGGGAATGGAGATTTAACAAAAGATCGTATGAGAACTCTCCACCGCCGAGGAACCTTACCCTGCCTCCGCCCGGCGTTCCAGAGAGTGTGGTATGCTTATTCTAACTCTTTCCTCGTGAGAATCTACACTTGTGAACGCAGTCTGGCTTTTGTTGGTTTCTTTTGAAACCTTGAACCGCAACATAGGTTGTGTTCTACTCGGTTTCCTCCCTGAACCGAGTAAGATTGCATAAAACAAAGCCTCCAATAACTTTCTACAACCATCCATACATGCTTTTGTAGAACCAAATCAGTAACTGACACAACAGTTACAAAAAAAAAAACCATACATGCTTATCTATTAAAAAACCCGTAATACAACTGCTTAGGGACACAAACTATTCTAGATTCTGCCTTGAACACTAAGGTCTTGAATGGTAATAATTTTTATTTTGAATTTTTGGTTTTATTCTTTGGTTTTTGGTTTTTAGCTTTTGGTTTTTGGTATTTGTAGTTTTCACAGTTTTTAGAAAATTTGATTGGTAGAAATAATATTTTAGTTTTTGATTTTATATTTAAAATTTATCAAAAAAGTTTTAACATTAAAACAAATATTATATTTATTAATATTAGTAATAACATAAGATGGTAAAAATATTGTGTTATATAGATATAGGTATAATGTAAAATTATTTTTAAAACAATAGATATTTTATCTTTAAAATAATTTATATAATTATTTTGTTAATAAAAATAAAAAATATAATAACAAATCTGTAAAATAGAATCTACAAAATAGTGGTTTTTGGCTTTTATATTAGTTTCTAAAAAAATCGACAACTTCTAAAAAGTGGGAAAATCAAGACCTAAGTTATTTCTTTTCTGCTTCTTCTTCTTTTATTTTTCTAGTTTTCAACTTCATTTGATTCGAGTTCTTGAATAACGCATCCAACAAACTTGCACAATAACATTGCTTAACTCTAGTGTTCCAGGGTGTTGCATGTTTATACACACACAATATATATATGTGTGTGTGTACTCACTGTTAATGTTTGTCTTTGCAGGTGACATTGGTGAAAATGGTGAACGAAGCCACAGCCAACATCCCGAACTGGTAATCATAGAGATCATAGTTGATTCAGTTCATAATGACTTTACTTTTTAGTACATGATATTTGGATACTGTGACAATGAACCCAAAGAGTCGGTCCAATCATAAATTTGAAAAAAATACAATGACGAAAGGACCAGGCAAATTGGTAAGAGCAATAATAGTAGTGGTATAATAAGGTCAGAGCAGTTAGTTCTCTTTGTCCACACAGAACAAGCTTGTCCAAATTAGTGGGAGTTGGTCAACAGATAGATAATGTGTACGTTCATACACCTACCTATACATACACCGATATGCTTCTTGAACTCAGTTCAAGAATTGTCTGCAGTCCTTGGAGTTGCAGAGACAAGTGATCTTCTTACCCTCATCTTCATGGTTGAAATGGTAATCATATGTTATCTCCTCTCCTGGGTATATGCCTCTCTCAGCAAAAAACACAACCTGCAAATCCCAAGAGAACATAGTAAAGCCTCGGTCAGACAACCTCGTCTTCGATCTCTAGAATGATATTGATCTGCATGAGATCCATATCGATCCTCGCAAACCAATGGGTAATATTTACTATTTAAATATATATATATATATATAGCTTGTAAGCAGCAGCTAAGAAGATGTATTATAAACATAAAACCAGCAGTTCAAACTCGCCTTCTTTTCATTTCTGATGGATATGACCTTGGCAACACAATTAGGCTGTTCAAACAAATTACAACAGAAGTTAGCAGAGATATAGATTATGCACAGATCATGCCTTTTGCTCTCTGTAAGTTCATGCGGCTGTTTCAAGATGCTTACCTGGCAGGAATGGTTAACAAAGCGAGCAATTCCGCCTTTCCAAGTCGCATCAATGATATTTTCTTTGTCAATCCTGAAGAAGTAGCACGCGCCTTTATACTGCACCTTTTTCCCTGATTCATACTCCCTTTCTCTTTTGTCTGCCAATCGTGGACCAATAATCTCCCCAATGTATTCAACCACCTATAAAGATAACTTTTACAAGAGTTCATGTCGCTGTTTTGCAAGTTTGTCACACAGTATAAAGAGAGAGAGAGAGCATCTGAACAACAACCATTTCTCCACGGGAAATGAACCGAGATGTGTAGAGTCCAAGACCATGAATGCCAGACTTGTAAACTACAAGATGCCTCCAACCCCTTGCTTCCTTGTACCTGAGATATTCTTTCTGGAAGAAACAGAAGAGAGATAGATATACATCACTGCAATGTTAATTGGACTCCTTGTATATACATGCAACCCAAAGGGAAATAATTGTTGAAGAATCCATGACTATGTTGAGCTCTTCTGTCTTCAAATATTGGCCATTAGAAGATACAGAGAAACACCAGATGCATTCTAACATTCGTCAGTTGATTAGACTCAAAAATGCTATAAATGAAGCCCAAGTAAAGCACAACAATTTGGAGTCGATAGAAGATTTCTAATAGCACAAATTAATTGTCTTTGTGTGTACCAGTCCACAAAGGTCAAATTGATTTTCTACAAAGATTAAGGTCTTACCCGACAATCAGATTCAACAATTGTCAATGGGATCGATGAAAGCTCCTGCAGGCGAGATCTTTTACCATTTATGTGGGTCCATGCATTCACCTGTTCTTGAGGAACAAGGCACCCTCCCTTTTCTCGCAGTTGGCCATTCTGATTATGCCAGAAGCCATCTTGCTTGCGACCCTTGTAGACCTGAAACAAAGCATAAAGATTTACGAACTGTTGCTGATGCTGATCCTAGTGCAATCTTCCGCCATACCCATCTAGTTAAGAACTAAGTAAAGATATAGGCTTGGGGAGGGGAGGTGGTGTGGTGTTTGATAGCTGCCGCTCCAATGGTGTAGAGACGAGTGTTGTAGACTCTTTGCTTTGACGGTTGTGATTAGGATGGATGAAGTGCAGTATCAAATGTTCATAAACAACAGTGCATTGGAATGTTTTCCACTTTTCCTTTTTAAGATGTGTTTGGCTGAAGTTAAACACAAGTAAAGAATTAACAATTAAAAAGTACAGATACCTCAATTCTAGCACAGGTTAATCCCTGTTCTCTTGTGTCATCCATTCTTGAATCTGCCGGGTCACAACCGGAATCATGTTTCACAGTAGATGCATGGTATAAACATCGACCATAGAAGCCCACATTCTCATTGTTATCACCCTCGACCTCGCTTTGCAATAAACCCTGAATAAGCATGACAACAGAGAAACCAGAAAGGACAAGATGAGAGAAATTTAAAGAAAATAAACTTGAGTTGAGAATCAAAAAGAAAGTGAAATGGCTAGGTCCAAATTTCTTCACTTAGATCAGAATAAATTGCTAAATTCTCCAAAAAAAAAAGGTATTGCATTTCTGAGCTTGACAATTAGCTCACAAAACATGACATTGATATAATGACATACTGCTCTGCGAATAGAAGCATATACCAACTAGATTGCGAGAAACTTCAAAAACATAGCACCAAGAGTCTAGATTTTTTAAAACCAAGAAAGTGAAGACACCTTAAGGTGAGCACACCAGGGATGAAATTGAATGGAACAACTCCGGACCCTGCATTTTATGCATGAGCCACCTGGTCGATTACAGAGAGAGCAGACCTGGAAACAGAGATGTTCACATGCCAAGGGGGGAAGAATAGTTAATAATGGCACGTAGGTATTTGTGCCTACAGAACAAAAAAGGAGCCAATAGCTGTAAGATGTGCAATATTGTGTATATAAAGACTCGATACTTACAGTAGATGGTCTAGGACAGGAAACTCCGGAGACATCAAAAGCACTCATGGTGTGGACATTCGGGCACCGTGTCCCCGGCATCCAAAGTCCACAAACCATATGTACCCACTGCTTAACACTTGAATCAGTAAGCCCTTCAATGAGACTATTTAGCATCCTTAAGTGCCTGATATCGCCTTCTATGGAGTCATAACTTTCTGAGTGGTTGAATGCATCCGTTTTCATTAGAGTAGGTGTTGATTGTTCAGCACTATCAGGTCTTAGAACGTCTGCTGAAACACCTTTAATAACTGATCCTCTGGGAATCAAAGCACAGTTATTGCCATCGGTCGAAACTTCACGTAAAGTAACAGGATTCTCTTGCTCTATATCAACATTGCACACCTTCAGAAGACTCTTTATAATTGTTTGGCTCTGCAGTGCTCTGGTCATGGCACCACAACCATAACCACATAGAACACAAACCTAAATGAAAATCGAGAAAGACACACTCCATAGATTATTAAAACTTAAAAAAAACATAAAGAATTGGGTTCAAATATGTGTTAGAATGAACTCTGGAATGTGGAGAATTTCAGGAAGCATGGAATTACAAATTAAAATTCTTACTATGTTTTTAGCGCTTTCCTTGCAAGGTCTGCAAGACCAGTCACTTTTGGGGACTTTTGAAACACCATAGCAAGCCTGATGTACCTGTGCACCATAATTGTCAAAGAAAGAACCACCTTGTACCAAAATAAGATCCTTAGAGAATTTGAAATATTACTTTGATAAGACATTGGGTGCACTCCAACAAACAGTTCATTTCATTACTGTCTGAGTTCCCACAAACAGAGCAGAGTGCACAAGGAACACAACCAGCCAAACTCTCCAAGACGTTGGTGGTACTGTACCATCATTGATGAAGGAAAACAATTAAACAAGGTCAAATCCCTGCTCAAAACTGCCAACAATTGGAGAAACTAAATTGTTTGCTTACATTTCATCATTGGCCTCATGCGAGATAGGCTCTTGCCATCTCCCAATACAAGTGGTCTCAGGATATTTTCCCTCCTTTACTGTTGTAGTACAGTCTGAATCCTTCGCAGGGGTATTGCCTCCAAGAGTTGAATCTTTCTCTAACCATGAGCGATGATAAAAAAAGTTCAGAAAAATACGTAAGGAGGAAGAAATGAAACAATATACAAGTTAGCAAGGGAATGAACTTTGAGACATGCACAGCAACGTCATCAGAAATCAACTCCAGAGTCTTTCTGCTATAACCACATTTATGGCACTAGCAAATTTTCTTCAGTGATTATTAAGATGCATCTATAAAGATTTGCACGTTTACCTATTCCTGTCAACTCATAGAGACTGCGAATCCGAATCCGAGTTTCCTTAAGTTTGGGCCTCAGTTTAACATGTTTCTCCCTTTTGCGAATGTTATAGTCACTCTCGGTTTCATCGCTGTCATCTTCCTCAAGTTTGGATATGTTATCAGCAGATTGCTCATTACACTTTGCGTACAGTCTCTTAGCTTCAACCGCTGAATCATTGTTGTTCATTCCAAACTGTGGTGAATCTTTGGCCTTTCTCTTCTTACTCATGATCCTATGTCCAGAAAATGGATCGACCTTAGAAAGGCTTCCACCAAATTGATTCTTTACAGGCTTTTTCAGAAATCCTGATTCGCCATCTCCAGCGAGGGAACATCTTCTGGTGGTTTTCATAATTCTGCTGAGTGAGAGAAATTTAGTCGGCTTAAAAATGTCTCCAACCACTTTACCTTGAAATAGTTCACCATACTTCCCATGTACAATAGGGCGAGCTTTCCTGCAAAAGGAATTTGCTCGATGGTTAGGAAATTCATTCTCACTGTTCAAATTGGTAGCCTTTTTGGAGGAGCCATGAGCTTTTCCAGGGAAGAAATACATTCTGCAAGAATCAAGACAAGTTCTTTTTAGCATCTTTCCACGAGGGTCTTCACAAACACCATCACTAGGTTCAGATGTGTAGTCATCTTCGATGTCTCTTTTATTATTTATTCCACACAGTTTTCTCTTGAACTGTTTCCTCTTGGTCGAAGAAAAAGTAGGGTTGTCAGATCCTGTGACTGGCCCGGACATATCCGGCTGGTCAACATGAGGCTTTTTGCATGTCAGTTGGGTTACCTCCTTATTTCCAAGTGTGCAGGAGGGGGGCAATTCAATGGCTTCCGAGAATTTTACACTATTTGTATGTAAAGATATCACATTCTTTTGCTTCCCAGTCTCGGAGATTCTCACAGTATGTTTGGAAGGACTCGCCATTTCAGAAGATACAGTGGGGACCTGAGTTCTCCCTTTCTTCCAGATCAAGGAATCTATAAGTTTAAGCTCATCTAAAAGACTACGAGATGGCTGATTCTTCGAAACTATAGAAGGCCCTTCTCTCATGAATTCAACACTTTCTTCGCTTTCAAGAGCGTCTTCCGATGTACAGCATTTTTGGATACCAGATCCCTCATCAACTACAGGATTACTGATGGCTCCAGTATTTCCAAAATCATTGGTAAGCTGAGCCACGTTACTACCTTCAACAGATATTTGTGTAACAGCACATCCTGGAGATCTAAAAGAGATATTAGAATTTGCCTGCTCTTTTGAAGCAGTTGAGATCTGCAGAGATGAATTCGGGTGTTTAGCAGCAGCATCTCTGACCTCGCCCAACTCATGTCTGTCCTCACTCAATTCACCAGCTGACCACCCAACATGCTTCACCTCAGAGATCACTTTCTGCTTCATTGGCACATCCTTCCAGAGAGAAGAATCATAAACAATTCCTGTAGGTGATTTCTGCTCAAGGTTTCCTCTTTGATCAAGTGAAAATGGCTTTTCACTAGGAACAACATGAACTTTTGAAGAAGACACTTGTTGATTTGATAAACCATAGGAAACTCTAGGTCTTGACTCGCCAGTTTCTTCCAGTTGCTTCATATGTGCATGGTAGCTGCAGTTTTCTTGGAAACAAGAGCAAGCTAGTCTCTGGTAGTGCTTTCCATTATTAACAGGTTTCATGGTGATTTCATTTCTCTCATCTCTGGAACATTGAATAGCATAAGCCAAGTAATCAAAATAATAGAGGAAAAAAAAAAGAAGAGCCACAAATAAGAGGACCCGCTTGAATCTAAAAAACAGATTGCAATTTACCGTGATTGTTCTTGTTCATTCAAGAGAGCTTTACTTGAAAGAAGAGCTGGCGAGCAATTGTCCGTCAGTTTTAATGGAGTATCACCTGTCAAAACACATAAGCCACTGCATCTAAAACATTTCTCCAGAGTATTCAAACAAACCATTATGCCGAGCTACAACAAAGAAAGTTTAAATTGATGTACCTCTTTCAGGTACACAACTGATGTTAGTAGCAGCAGACAAATTTGATGGTGGAGGGACTCCAACAGACTTTTGATAGTCATTTAGAAGAGTTCCATGCATTTGATCTATGACCTTAGTTGAGTAATTAAGTGAAGGTTGACCATTCAAACTGGAGGGCATCCGAAAATCATCTAAATGTTGATTCTGTGCAGCAGAAGAGACTTCATGATGTTGCTTGGACAAATCTGATATCTGCCTCTGTGCAAGCAACCTCATTTGGTCATTGAGCATATAAGGGCTACCGATCTCTCTCTCCTGTTTCACTGATGCAGGGAAAAACCTGAGCACATGCGGTGTATTATCTGAAGGAGAGCTCACCGAATCTGGTGGTGGTTGCCCAACGGCCCCAGTCCATGCAGGTAAATATGCAGATATGGCAGACAGGCCAGTGGTGCATGCATTAAGTTCAAAACTAGCTGCTCTACCAGTTTTCTGAGGTATGTTTCTTAAATTAGCAAGTATTGCTCGCGTATCTGGTGGTTGATGCAAACCGTCAGTCCCCGAGTCTACAGCCCAAAACCCAGTAACCCTGCTGCCAGGGGCTACTTGGTGCAAACATAATGATTTTTCATTCTGGTGTCTAGCTTCAGCTACAAAATTTGGCAGTGCATTTAAAACAGAGGGATCACTCCTCCCTCCATCTTCCCTGGCCTTTGATATGACTAGCCCATTACCATCAGACACACTTAGTACTCTCTCTAAACCAATCAAATTCCAAGAGATGTTATATGGACAAGATCGGGTTGCTTCAGATCCACTACATGTCGCTTCAGAGAAATATCCTGTCTTACTGAGACCACTAATAGCACCTTTGGAGCTTCGAGAACCCTCAGGAAACACACTGAAATGTTCCATCGATGGCATACTGGAAGTCATGCCAATATTCTTCAATTTTTCTAGTTGGGACATGACAGGAACACCGCAGGTTCTGGATGCACAATTTTCCGAATCCACTTGCACTGCTTTTTTTCCTTTCATGAAAATCTGTGTACCGGCAGCACAATGGAAATATTTCTCAGACACTTCCTTTTCCCCTCCAGTGGCAACTGCAATGATCCAAATACAATTTTCAGATACTGCTTTGTCACAAAAAATGTGAATTAGAAACTAAAGCATTTACAGTTCTGGTTAAATAAAAACATTCCAGAAAAGTGAATTCACACCAGTATGAACCGTTTGTTCTGAGCAGAATGTATTGGATGGATCAACATTTCTGTCTAAAAGCTTCGAACTAGCAACTGGAAAGGATGAATTTCTTAAAGGTTGGGTCTTCTGATATGGTTGTCCAAGCTTCAGCTCTATGTTTGAGAAGGCAATATCCCTCTCTGCAATCGTAGTATCTTTTGCAGGCAGCCTACTGTTATTGTAGCTTTTACCAGGGACACACAAACTGTGGAGATTGGAATCTGAACTAGGGAAACTTCGGTTATTTAGAACAGAACCACTGTAAGCCCATGCAGATAGATCAACTGCCAGGGCTGGTGAAGACCTTCCACAAGCCACATGTTCGAGTATCTGATTATCAGACATTGAATTAAAATTGCTATGCAAAGTATTATTCAGCGCTCTTGGAAGGGACTGAGTGAACTCACGAATTCTTCTTTCTCTATCAAACAGAGTTTCAGCCAGGTTTGGGCCTGTTTCTAGGAGCTTGGGAGCAAATATCTTCTCTGCAGGATGTGGAGGAGGTTTCATGAAGCTTCCATGTGACCTTATCAGCGTGTCCAAATCAGAGGGATTGGTTTTATTGGAAGTAGATGCACATGATCTGACCATACCAGCTGACAATCCCTGAGGCCAGTCCCACCCCATATCATCTTCAATAATCCTGGTCTAAAGAATCATAAAAACATCACCATCCAGTGTTCTTGTGTCTTCAGAGACATGCCAGTAAAAAAAACTCTCAAACATGTGAACTTAGAAAGATCAAAATACCAATCCAAGTACAGGCCCCTTAGGACATGCATCTGTTATCAAAGTCAAAATATTATTCTTAAAGCCACTTCCTCTATTACCCACATATTCTGAATGGCAAGAAAGAACAGCAAATTTGCTAGGAACAAACCTTTGGGCAAGAGCGACATAATAAAAAATATAAAATGCACGAGGGATAAAAAAGATGCATATAGCAAGAGATGCCCATCAGTTTCTGTTTTCTAGATAAGGACTTCTCCATTAGACCTCCTTAATTGTTATGAAGAATTCCAATAGCGAACGAATGTCTTACCCCAAGCTTTTGAAAATATAGCTTACGCCATTGAGCAATAGTCTGACCACTTTCTAGATGAACAGCAATACCTGGGTTGACTCCAGAAGACCCTGAATGCTGGAAACAATCACATAGTCAAAGGAAAAGCAGCAAAAACAAAGTTATGCATCTCAATAATGTAACTTCTTTAAAACACTGACTTCATATACACGCACTAAAAAAGTTACCTCACAGAAGTCAGACACAGACATAGGCCACGAGTGACACAAACAGAGGATGACAGTATATCCAATATTGCTAAGAAGTAGATGCCCACCTGGTTTCATTAAGAAAAAGAGCTCTCTTAGGAGATTCAGAACATCGACCCAAAAACATCAAACACATTGTACGGACCACTTACTTTTATTCAAACAAAATACAAGGGGCCAATTGGATGATTGTTCAGGTGCTATATCATGAATTACAGCATTAGAATGGCTCGAACACCCAGTACTCTGGTTCCCAGCCCTGAAGCTAGCGTCAGAAACAGACCTTCTACCATGATGCAAACCCGTTACATCATGAGAAATTACAGGTCCCGCATTTGCCCCTTCCATTTCTGTGCGATGGTTCTTTCGAGCATCCATAGGCAATGCATGAGTCCCAGCTACATAATGACTGAGTCCGATGGTATCATAACCAGAACGTTTCCCATAACCACAGGCATCTCTAGGATGGGAAGCCTCGTTATCACCGGACAGAATTTGTGACTGATGCCACGGCAGAACAGCTACAGTGGAATTTCCACGCTCTTCATTGCTTGACACAGACAAACTTGAGCTCCCCGGTCCCCGCAACACAGCCTCTTGGGTCTTTCCATGAAACATAAATTTTGAACCTTGAGCACAATGTGGATAGGTGGAGCGGCCCAAAGTCGTGTCCTCCTAATGCCCACGATAAACAACAAATTTATGCCAAATCATGAAGCTAGAATGGAAAGCAGACAACTCATATTCATGTACAAAAACGGACAAAAGCTCCCCTAGACTGAAGCATAACGAAGGCAAGTATAACCTAAGGTACACTATCTTCAAGCAAAATGGACTCACCATGGAGAAGCAGGTACAAGAGGATTAAACAATAAAGGAGAATATACCCTAAGGCCTAAATCTGTACTAGCCATTTCCGGAATCCATAAAGAACCGAAAAGTACCAAAATAAATGCGCGATTGCATACCTAAATTCCACTTTACACTACAAAATTTGGAAATATAAACCTAAAGAGATACAAGCAAGTACTCGGAAATAAGCCATAAGCAAGCATGATCAGTGACCTGATTTCGCGGCTTCGGTGGCGCCGATGCCGGTGAAGCGGTTGCCACCGTCGCCGGAGGAAATGTAGAGCCGCCGTTCATCACCCATGAGCTTTCCATATCTCGCTCCCCCTAAACCCTACCTCAGCGCCATGAAAACCGCCATGCGAGAAGCTTCGAAACGCTCAGTATCTTACTTGTTCCCCAAGATACAACAGCAAAATCTCCAAGTAATCAGACGCAAACATCAACTTGAAGATCAGCGGAACTGAAGGGATTATCTACGCAAAGTACATACGAAATGGAATCAAAGCCCAGACTGAGAGAGAGAGAGAGAGCAGAGACAAAGGCTGTAAACAAAAGTTGCAGAGAAAGACGAGTGAGAATCGCTTTCACCCAGAGGGAGAAAAACAAGAAAGGAAAATTACAAAGTGACCACTAAACTTTAATTTAGTTACACTTTAATCTAAATCTTTTTATAGACAACGATTGACATTACCCAATGTCTACTTGGTGTTTATTTGATCTAATTTTTTAGAATTTTAAGATTATTTTATTTATGAAGGATAAAAAAATGTGTGCAAAATTAGTAAAGAATACAAATGGGCGTATCTTCCGAGGGAATTTAAGTACTCATCCAATCATCATTGAAATTTGTATCATATGTGATGGTTTTAGAAGAAATATTTCCCTTCAAATTGAGAAAAACAAATTTATGGATTGAGAAATATTTAGAAGAAATTAATATATACCCTTTGTAATTTTTTGTTACTACTCGTCCAATATGTGATGGGTTGAGAAATACTTCTTAAAAGAAATAGAAGATAAAAAAAAATTGTAGTTTACCAAGGTCTATTCAGAAACGAACGAGGGAGTGAAATTTTGTGAAACTCGAGAATTGAAGAAAAGCTTAATCTGAAAAGATTCAAAAGCTGGGGTGTTTTAAATAAATTTCAAAACATTGATGTTCAAACTGTAAATATAAATAAAAATAGAGGCGCTGTAAATGTAATTTAACAAAAATGTAGCTTACCGAGGTCTGGTTGATTGATGCCGCAGACTGAAAAGAAAGCGCGTGGGGATCACGCATAAAGTTTAGACCGTAGGATCAGGCGGAGCAGGTTTGATATGGATCGTCGATTGTTCTTACAGTCTTTAGAGTTGCCAGAAGATTTGATCAGTTTGGGACTGTGTCGCTGTAATGTCAAACAGAGGAACACAAAAGCGATGGGGCCCTCCTTTTGACACGTGTCATGATATGATTGGATTGTTTCCTCACGGGTTGCTCTTCGGTTGATATGTCCTTGGACCGACCCATATGATTAATGGGCCTTAGCAATTTGCTGTTAGGCCCATATGATAATTTATAGGTGCAATTTTATATCATATATAACTCAAACGTGGTAGGTATCATAAAATTTCGGCTTTGATTAGGAGAATTCTATTAAAAACTATCATTCAAAACATTTTATATTAATTTTATAATTTTAAAATTTTTAACTACCAATATAAAATCAAAATTCTTTGCTCAATAAACTTAATTATCTAGACTTTTTAGCTAATTTTTATAAATCCTAGAAACTATTTTCTCTCCCACCTTTCTTTAACACAATGGCATTATCATCCAAACCATCACATTTTAACTTATAGTCTATTGTTAATTATATAATTATTCTTTTTTCGGTTTGAAATTTGCAAAGCAGCCCGTAATATACTCTTTTTCATGTTTTATATATATACATGTACTCTATAAATTCAAAAACAATTTTGTTAGCATATGTGTGAAACTTGTATGCTTCCGGTGTGAGCTTAAAAAGTAGCCTGCACTCAAATAAATGAATGAGGATTAGAGGAATCAAATATTACCAATGGAGGTTGGTCCGAGAGGTAAGCGGCTCGGATTCAAAAACACGAGACCTAGCGTATCCGGCTATTTTTGTTGGAAGACTCATCCACCATCCGGTAGGGGTGGGCGTTTCGGGAAACGGTTCGGGTTCGGAACGGAAAGAAATCGGTTCGGTTCTTTCGATTTTATAAAACTAGGTACCAATCGGTTTTTATATTGTATTCGGTTCGGTTCGGTTTCAGGTTTTATTAAAAAAATGATAGATTTCCTTTAAAAATATTCGGTTTTTCGGAATTTTAAAGTTCGGTTCGGTTTCGGAAAAATTCGGTTCTCTAAAAATGGTATCGTTCGGAAATTAAAAACGGTTTCGGATCGGAAAAAATACCGTTTTTTCGGTTCGGTTCGGTTCGATCCAGTTCCGAAGAACCGAACCGAAATGTCCAGCCCTACCATGCGGGTCGGATCTCAAACTTTTTACTTCCCTTTTTAAACTATCTAAATTGAATAGGGCCTATAAGAATAAATATTTTATGCAGAGATTTTACATATTCAGTTTCTTTTTCTACTTTGGTTCAAATCTTTCCGTATTCATCAGATTTGATTTAATTGTATTCCTACTCCATCGTTTCCACTTAATCCATTTTTTGTTTTTTCAAATCTTTATTCAAAGTCATTTATAGAGGTAACTTTTAGAACATTTATAGAGTTAACTTTAAAGAATTTAATAGCTTAAATTTGTTGATACAAAAAAAAACATGACAAAATGTGAGAATATGTAGAATTTAATATCAAAATATAATTTTATAAAATAAAAAAGGATTAACTTTGGTTAGATATCAAATATTCAAATAAGTAACCATCTAAACCCTAAAGAAAAGTATATTATAAACCCCATAACAGATATAAACTACGTGGCAGAAAAAAAAAAAGGACTCAGCCACGTCTAGGGGAAGAAGACTGTTGTTTCGGCTCAGCACAAGCAAGAGAACCGATCCAAGCCGGAGGCTGCATACCGGTTTGATCGTAAACCGTCTCCAGAACCGGAGGCAACATCTTGTACAGCCCAGCAATGTCCTTCATACCGCGCCATTAACGTTTTCAACGCCCTGATCGCTACCGCTGTTCCAAACGCTGATCTTAGGCTTCAACTCTCTCACAGCTTCAGCGTTTGTCCTGGCGATTTCTTGGTACACGCCGTTGTTAATCATCATGTAATCCCTTAAGGCCGAGTAGTTGCCGCCCAATGCGTCGAGTAGGGTTTTTAGGTAAGCGCCCTGGGCATTGGCCAAGGCCACAAGCCCCTCGGCTTCCTTCTGTTTCGAGTAGAAGGTTGCGTCCGCTGCCGCTTTCTGGGCCTCGGCTTCTTTCTGTCTCTGGTACAGAACTGCCTCTGCTTGTTTCTGCTTCTTGTAGAGTTCCCAGTTCGCTTCTTGTACCTGTTGATTTGGTCATAAGATGTTACTGAGTAACGTTTTGAAAAGCTATTGGTTGATTCATTCATGTTGTATTAACCCTTTTTTTCTGAAAATGGTGAATAAATGTTGATTTGAAAAGACCCAGAAAAAGTTATCAGAAAGATTGTTTCGAATCTATGAAATTTGACAGTACAAAGCAGAATAAGAATCCGAACTTATTGAAAAGGAACTGAGTAACGTAGAAGCTATCAAGATATGGAAACATGCATGCGACCATTTCCAACTTGCTAACTATACTTTTATGCAAATTTCTTGGGTTTAGCTATGTAAAGATTAGAACTTTGTTACGAGTAAAACCAATTTTTGTTTTCCACGCTCCAGAATATCGAAGATGAAAAAGATAAACAAGATAGAAGATTAATGTAATACAGAGCGCGATGAATGTATTACCCGAGTTTCATACTCAACACTGGCTTTGGTGAGGTGTTCTGCCCTAAGCTTCTCAGTCATCTTCAATGCATTCATCTTCTCAACCTGTCTTTGAAGCTCAGCATCCCTCAAAGCCACCGCCATTGCTGCCTCCACCTCGGCAACCTGTGTTACTAACAAAAAGATACGATCAGTCAAGTTAACGATTCACGAGCATCGAAGAAACTTGAAGGTTATTGACCTCAGCCTCCTTCTTCCAGACAGCCTTTTTCTTGGCCAGTTCGGCGTTGGCTTTGGCCACATCAGCCTCCTTCTCGTTCTCAAACACCTTGACCTCGGTCTTCACCTTGATCTCCTCCTTCTTCCCTTCTCCTCCCCTCTGTGTTGAGATGATCCTTGTCTCGGCGTCGATCTTAGCTGCGTTCTGGAGGGTAAGACCTTCACGGGTCTTGGATCCAATCTCTCCCTTCATCTTGGCCTCAGAGACGTCAATCTTGGCCTGGTTGGCCGCCTCCATCTGAGTCTTCTGGCCCAAGTAAGAGAAGTACTCATGGCCACGGACGTCCACAAGCTGCTTGACATTGGCGTTGTAGATCAAGAGACCAAACTGGTTTAGCTCTAGTTGAACCTTCTCGAACACCTCCTTCTTGAACTCCTTCGTCCCTACAC